TGGAACCACTAGGATCTCCGACACCATTGGCAAGCTTGGTCGCAGCACCCGGGAGGGCCGGACGGCGAGGGGGGGCTACCGGAGGGGCCGGCAGCCGAGAGAGAGGCGACAATTTACGAGAGAGCGACGGGAATTTGTTGGCGAATTGTTAAGCGACGGGAATTTGGAAACCCCGCATCTCCAAATATACTTTTTTTTAATAACAAATTAATTCTATTTTTTTTGTAATTTTAAATTTAATATATATTCAATGTGAAAGTGAATTTCAATATCGTTATATTTGCTCAATTTTTCACATAGTGATTGGATTCCATCTTTTCTATTTATTATTTTTTTCCAGATTTTTCACTTTTTTATTTAATTCTATTTGCAATACTTATTTACAAGTGTGGTAAATGATTTTAATATAGGTATCATAGATATGGTAGGTAACTGTAAATTAAATGATTTAAAAATCACATGCGCATATTGACATTTCACATGGTAAATAATTTATATATATGTATATATCAAGTTTTTAAATAACGTTTCATTTTATTTTAAAAAATTATTACTCCAAATTATTTAAATGCGCTAAAAATACATTTTAGATTAAAATAAAAACAATTTCAAGACTTAAAAAAAGTAATTGATTCTTTTAAAACATTACTTTTTAATCTTTTGTCACATTTTCTATGTTCAATTTCTTTATAACACATATATGAAAAAAATCGTTTGGTATTTACACATTAGGAGATGTAGCTTAATGGTTGTTGTAATACGAAATCTGATCAACATAAATGTACACCCCTATTCTGTGAATAATGAGTGTAAGTTAAATATGAATTTTGTGATTTTTTTGGGAGATGAAGATCTATCTATTTTTCTTGATTTTTTGTTGTTTTTTCTGTATTTTTTCTCCTTCTTGTTTGCTGAAGGGAGAACAGAAAGATAGGGATTGAGAGAAAACTTGAGGTGGTGCCTCGTAGTAGATAAGAGAGAGAAAGTAAAAGGCAGCCCCTTCAGACCTCTCTAATTGCCCATCATAGGGGGTATTTATATTCGTTTTTGTCGGCCCCGATATTATTACAAGCGGGATTATTTTGGGGCTTTAACAATAAGACAAAATATAGCAATTGATTTAATTAATATCCATGTGTAATATTTAAATAGGCGAGACCAAAATTGGGTATCAACAATGGTATTATCATCCAAGATTGAGTATGACATTCGGGGATTGAAACCCCGTATCTCCAAATATACATTTTTTTTTGTAATATACAAATTAATTCTGTATGTCTTTTTCTAATTTTAAATTTAATATATATTCAATGTGTAAGTGAATTCCAATATCGTTATATTTGCTCAAGTTTTTCACATAGTGATCAGATTCCATCTTTTCTATTTATTACTTTTTCCAGATTTTTCACTTTGTTTATTTAATTCTATTTGTAATCCTTATTTACATGTATGGTAAATGATTTTAATATAGGTATTATAAGTAGTCTAGGAAATTATGAATTTAAATGATTTTAAAATCACATGCGCATATTGACATTTCACATGGTAAATATATTTATATAAACGTATATATCAATGTTTTAAATAATATTTTATTTTACTTTGAAAAGTTAATACTGCAAATTAATATAAATGCACTAAAAATACATTTTGGTTTAAAAAAAAAAACAATGTCAAGATTTAAAAAAGTGATTTGTTTTTTTAAGACTTTACTTTTAACAGTAATGCTCACATACCCACGGTGGGCACATGCTAATATGCCCACCGCTTA